AGCCGTCTTTAGAATGACAAGGAGGTTAGTGGGTTTTGGGAGCAGCCAGCTCTGCTTTTCATTTCTGTCCATTCTGAGTCACATGGATGGAAATTAATAAGATTTCTTGGTCTCTATTTGGGAGCAGCTCATGGAAGAGCTCTATGCCCTCTAAAACGCTTAACTCGTATCTTGTAGAGATTTTGGTTGTGGTTTCCTATAATGGGCATTGGTAATATTTCTCCTCAGAAAACTAAAGCTCATGGTGAAATGAAAGCTTTCTGTCAGGGCTTTGCTCATAACAGACTGCTCATTTAATGATACAGGTTGGCAAACTGTGTACTCGTTTGCGTCTGGAACAAAGATGCAGGCTTGCCCTTTTCTGTTATTCTGAGAAAATGTTCAGTTGAAAATTGCATCAGATCACTTAATATTGCAGTTTGATATAGTGTCTTTTTGTGCCATTGAGCCAGGACTTTGGAACATAATTGCCCAGCAGTATTGATTTAATTGCCTAGGTTTATTTGTGGACTCCTAATTATTGACTGGAGGTAAATTTAATGGAGAAACCTTTATGAACACTGGGAAACTGCTGCTGTTGCTGTTATACATAATGAACTGCATCATATCCCTTTAGATCATTCTTCAAGCTAATTTTATTCCGCTGTGACAGTACGATAACATTTAAAATGTCATAGACATTTTATTTTTATTACTGACATACGCCATTTTACTGCTGCATTAGAATTTTGGGGGGGACTGAGGGAAGCACTAGTTGCTTTTTTACTGTCATTTTATAGATTCCCCTAAAGTGTAATGATAAAGGATAGCACACCTCTGTTTTACACTTCATCTGTACTTTTATTTTTCATACTCTTATGACTTCAAAAAGTCTAATTTCTTTCAGCTTTACAAGAATGTTAACATTTCAGTGATAAATATTTTTGCATTCCTGAAGCTCACAGTCCCCAGTCAGAGTTTGTGTATCCTTATTTTATCAACTACTGTAGAAACACTTGTGAAGAAATTACACCACTGCTAAGAAGCTTACAATTTGATAGAGCCATGTCCACGTCAAGATGTTATTACATAAATAAGAATCATATAATCAAAAAGTACAGTCATGTTCCAAGTTCTACAGAGCTGGTGAAAATCACTTATTGTCTAAACTGGCGTCTTGAATGGCCAGCATGTGTTTTCCCAGTTGCCTTTTTGTATTTGTACATTGACACCCAGTGACTAGTGTGTTCTCACTGAAGGATAAAAATGAAGCATCTTAATAACAGACTATTAGGATAAAAGGTAAAAGACTCTCTTGCCTGTGAAGAAGCTGTATGTGGAGAGGCTTCACAGAAGTACGTGGAGACATCTGCTACCTGCACAGGGGTATCCAAGTAGCTGGGGGAGGTATCACACTATAGACCATTGAGGTTTTAGCGGTTCATGGTACTTGGGAGAGTAGGGAACAAGTATGGTTATCTAATTATGTATGTGTATTTACAGCTTGCATGGCAAGTGATGAGCCTTTTACGTACTTTCTCCCTCGCATCTGCATTTGTATGTCTTATTACTTGAACCTGGCATAGTATAGTAGTGCTCTCTTTTTATAATCATAAAAAAAACCCAAGCCAGCAGTCTTCTCTAGCTTTTCCCATCATAGGAAACTTACATAGCTTAATCAAGAGGATAGTTTCACAGAGCTTAGACAAGATTCCTTGTACCACCAAAGGCTTTCATTCATTGTGACTGATTTTAAGTAACAGCATCCCAGAACAATCCATTAATAAATTTGCATGTTAGTCCAATCCAGATTGCTTACTGCCTGAAGTCTCCAAGAACTGTTTTTCAACCCAATACAAATCATCTGCCTAACTCTTCCAAACAATGGAACCTTCCTGAACCAAATGACAGCACTGATTTAGCATGTCCCTTATCAGATATACAGCAGCACTTGCCTTCCCTCCCTCCTCATGTACTCCTTGGGACATCACATATCACATAAACAAAGCTGCCTGATAAAATCTTTTCTCTCATGACCTCATTATGAACCTACAAATTATATTCCAATGGTGAATTCCCAGAAAAAATCCCTCCCCTCTGTTCTGTGGGCTCCCTGTAGGTATGTGTATAACCCGTCTCTAGAACAGGGTTTGGAACAGTATATTCACTCTTCATTGGTAGGGATTTTTCCCAACCCCTTTTTAGGATTTGCACTGGCTTCTAAATATAGATTTCCTCTGGTATCACCTGGGAATGTGCACTGACAGCTACGGTTTTTTCCTTTCAAATTTCTTGGGTTGGAACTTGCCTGGTTTGCTTTTATTAGTCTCCCTCCAGCCTGTGTCTGTCTTCTCCTTCTCTTTGAAGAAGTCTCTGCTCATTGTCTGTCCTCTGCTCATGTGCACACATGTATTCACCCATGCACAAACACACATGCACACACTCACCACTGCCAGCACCTTAAAAAAAAGCATCAGCAGTGCAGTCTGAACCATATCCTGGGCACCATTAACACTGGTATCAGACCATCAGAAAGTAACTGTGATTTTCTTGTCATTACGAGAATAAGAGCTCAGTCCTGTACACTGACAATCCATTATGGTTTAAATCTGTGTTTTATCACATGCACACAAACAAAACCACATTACATCACTTGTCCTGGACTGAAAACAAGGAGAGATTGGCTTGATACTCAGGAAAAGAATACAGACAGGCACATGTATATTTATATAATCATGTATATACAGCCATCACAAAGCAGAATGGACAAAGAACAATATGGAAGTGAAGCATTTATCTTTTTTTTTCTTTGACTTTTAGTTTATAGTGAAATTAGGAGGTTTGGTCATTATAACCTAAGTTTCTTTAGTTTTATTCTTTGTGGTTCACTTAATTTGAGGCAGCTTTGCAGTGTGTTTGGATAGTTTTGTTGGGCAGACGTGTAATTCTGATGATCCATATGGGGAGATTTAAAATAGGTGTAACTATTAATTCATATATTCCAGAAATTAAATACTTCTATTTTTTTGTTAACACATTTTAGACTCTGTGAAGCAGAGGCCAAGTGACATGGTACTCTGTGAATGGAAACGCTGTGTCTCATTAGAAAAACTACATTGCCTTGCATTCATTATGAGTCTTTTCACAGGCAGGTCGGTGTGTATTTATGCACTTGTGCTGAGTGAGACTCGGTCATGTCATGTAAGGTCAATAAGTATTACTAGTTTATTTTTTACAGAAGGGATCTCCGAAAGAAGTATACTCAAGGTCAGAATAAATAGGTGAGAGAAATAGAACTCTATCAGCGTTTCTGACTCTTTAGGATCATATTACCTTACAGTTATCCATACACTAAGTTATCTGTCTGATAAGTTGTGTAAGAAATAGGCCATTTAATTCATACGGCTTTCTAGTATCAAAGAAGGAATGTGTAATTCCGGTAAAGATAAATAAATAATGTAGTTTGCACTCTCAAATTTTCTGAATTTATGCAAATCAATTAAATACTACTTCTCTTAAAGCCTACCATAATGTTCTGATTTAGGATCACTATCATTGTTAATGTTTAGTGTTCACATAAATTTGTTGTGGCACAGATAACTGGAAAATATTTGAAGGAAGTATCATTATGTATTAAAATATATAATTATCAGTGGTATAAACAAACTTTCACTCCTTAGGTGCGCACTGAGCCCTCACTGAACTCCCAAGGCCTTCCACAAGCATATGGCAGGTTTGGAAGCTGGGATGAATACTTTTGAGTAGACACATCTTCCATGGTTGTGAAGTTCTGGGGAGAAATGTAGAAGGAAGCTTCCCAGGCTAGTTACAGAGCCATCATTAAAAGTAAATCTGACAGGCTTCTATTAAAGATGAAGACTGTAGCAATCATCCAGTTCTGGGTTTCTGTATTGAAAAAAAAACAGATAAAAAGCTACAGTACTTTCTCTGAAACCAACAAATGTTGAAAGAATGACATAATGTTCAACTTTCAAATGCTCTTGATTTAAATGAATGATTTAAATGGAAAGAGTTCTTGAAAGATCACTTTGCTATGACATGGAAGCCACAGAGAGTAGTGAGCAGCAAGTAAAATGTAGCTGGAATGATATGAGCCAGAGACATCAATAAGAAACCATTCATCTCAGGCACAACATTAAGGAGGTGAAATGTATCAGAAATGAATGTCGTCAAGCCAGGCAAGAAGAATTAGAGACTTTGAGGTTATGGTATAGTGTTCTCGTAAAAAACATATTTAGACAAGGAGGGAGAGCAATTAGAGTGAACAGGATGCTGGGGTCAGTGTTTTTAAAGCATAATAGCAAGTAAGTGTCACAGAATTTCAGATAAGATTATGTCTTATATTGCTCTGAATAGATTTGTGCTCAGTGAATTGGATCCTTCTATTCCCCCAAAAGTCATCACAATAGCGTGCGGGAGAAAGCTGACAGGTGTAGATGACTACTAGAAAATTGTTACCATAGACAGAAGTTATATATGACAGATGGAGACGTGTCTGGCCAGCAAGTAAGAGCCCTTCAAAACCCCCTTTCCTGTGGAAAAGGGAAATAATGCATATTATCATCCTGTTTCTGTAACTGCAAAGTGACTATTGAGCAACATGTAGGATTGCCATTCCAGTCACCTCATAATAGATTTTCCTGGCTACCATTTTAGATTTTTTTCCTGACTTGTTAGTATCAATATATAGATTCATATCTGTGTATCAGTTCAAACATTACACCAGCATTTGTATTTGATGTGCTTTTATGTCTGGGGTTTGTTTGTTTGTTTTATATTTTTTGTTTCATATATGTAGGAAATGGGCAGTACTCTGTCTGGTATAAATACTATGCAGTTTTCTCTTTAAGATGGAATATTGAAATGAAAATGTAAAATCAGAGCAGCAATACTCAAGTGTGGAACTAGAGAATGGTTCCAGACACAAAAGTATTGCCTTGAACTACAGTTGTGCAAAGCAGAGGAAGCTGGTGATTGGCTTGCTCAACCACTGGCTGTATTTTACCTGATCTATTTCTGGTGGCCTTATAAAGGTAAAATTACCTCTCCTTCTCATACGAGTGTCAGTTTTTACTTTTGGTGTGGGTCTGACCCTTCAATCACCACTGGTATCACCAGGAGTTCAAGAAAGCTGACAGAGCCCTGTGAAGCTGACAGAAACTTCCCAAGGGTGAATGAAAACTGTTTGGCACAGCACCGACCACCCTCTGGGTGGGCCCACAGTGACGAGTGCTTTGTACCACCTCCAAAAGTACTTCCCAGCATGCAGTGCACTGATGCACCCAGGCTGTGAAAGAAAACCTCCTTAAGCATTAAAGTAATGACACTGAAATATATACCCAGTCTCTTTCTTTGAAGACATCGATTGTGCAAATACATCTTTCATATCAGAGGAGATATAAAAGAGGTTTTCACTTTTCTCTGTAAATATGTAGATACAATTTTTTTGGTATCATGTTTTAGAGGACCAGACGTTTGTGTAATGTCCCAGTCAATGCAATTGGAGCTTTTGGGGGCTTGGGTTTTGTTTTGCTTTGGCTTTTTTTATTTACAAGTTTTCACATGTGAGTCTAAGGCAGTTGCCACAGCATTGAGAGCTGTACCAGTAGTTCTGTCTCATCCTCCTGAGAGTAGCAAACATACACTACCATTTCTCCATGCCCTAGAGTTGACTGTAACCTCTTATTGATCAGCTGATTGAAGATAAATGACAGAGATGCTGGTACTGCAGTTTACATCATTAACACGGTCAGTAAAGCATGAATTGTTCAATAAGGTGTTTATCTTTTTTCATTTTACTCTGTTCTTTTATCATTTTTATGATAGAGAGCAAATTTTCAGACACTAACCAGGCGGGTGAACTTTAAAGATCAGACGTGTGTATGTGTGGTAGTTGTCAGAACTAAGTGAAATCTAATGGTTTAAAGATATTTAATAAATGTTCTTCACATGAAGAAAATAAAGTTCAATGATCATTTTTCTTACGATGTTTCTTTTTCAGTTTCCTTTTGCCTCATACTTAATGGATGCCATACTGGAAAAATTAAATGAGAAGAAGAAACTGGTAGAAGAGTACAGTTCTCTCATGAAATAGACTGCATGATGTTGCTAAGAATGCCTGTCTTTACCAAGTGTGACTAAAATACGTGTGCTGTTTCCTCATGTCTTTCCTCTTCACATAAAGAACTGTCAATATGCAAGTTCAATAAATAAGTAGAAACTGTGAACTAATTAATTGTCGAACAAGAGGAATTCATTACTTTCCTATTTAGAAAGGAGCACGGTGTTTGATTGCTGAAGACAAAAATTGCTGCAAATCAGTGCAAAGTTAAAAATTATTTCCCTTTAAATGCATTAGCAGTGAGCACCAGTGCAGGCTTTGTAGAGAGGGGATGTTTTTGATACAACCAATATGCATCTGTACAATTCAGGAAGTACAACAAGCAGCTAAGTAACTCCTGGATGTACTAGTCAGAACAGTAGAAGTAGGATTTACAAAGGAACTGGGAATATCACTAGGATTTTGAATACCTAATTTCTTTTAGCTTCTTTGTAAATCCCATCTTTGTGACATACATTCTACATAAAATTATATGCTTTCTTTATCTTGGAAAAAATGAGAAAATGAATAATTGTAGAGAAAAAGTATTCAATGTAGAGTAATATTCCTGGGAAAAGCTGTATTTTCTTCTGAGCTGGAGTGTATTTTGTACAATGTATTTAATTGTATTTAAAAAAATCAATACAATAAAGTTATTTCCAGTGTGGGGGGTTTTTTCATTAGTAGTCCCAGTTCTTTTCAGCTAACACCAAGCAGCTGCAAGCCCTCACTTTCCTTGGGAAAATAGTGTAGAGTTTTATTCAGTTATTTCCACCAAGATTTCTCTGGCAGTGCTAACAAATTATTGTTGCTTCTTCACATCTTTGATCTTAAGAGTTTTTATTCCTCTGGACCAACCCACCTGGAAAAATGAAAGACCCAGGTTTCTGAATTCATGTGGTAATAATGTTTAGCTCTTATATGTGGATCTTCATCTATGGATATCAAGTAGTTTTACAACAGATGTCATTTCATTATTTGTATTGGGTGGGGAATCAGAAGCAAGATCTATTTGGCCTAAGATCACTCAACAGAAGCATGAAACAGAAAAGTTTCCTGCATGTCAGTCCAGTGCTTTTCCTAAGATGCCACCGTGCTTCTTTGAATTTATGGAGTACACTATTTGGTGTCTCTAGGAGAAGGATGGGGGAGGTAAGGCATTGGTAAACTTCTGCTCAGTTACACCTGGTGACAACAGGGGCTTGAGAGAATTTTTATTGGAATTACTGAAAATCATGCAAACATATTCCACCTGCACCTGTAAGTTAAGACCTGGAACTAGCCCTATATAAAAACCGAAACAAATCTTTAGGAATGGTTGACCACCACCTTTTCCAAAGCAAGAAATAAGGGGCATCATAGGAAAGTATCAGGTGACATATTCAAAGCACGCAAAACTAAGCAACTCCCATGCAAAGGCCATTGAGTGGTGGAACTGCTTGCCTCAGGGTAAAATTTACATGGGCTCCAATGCAAATAAAATTGTGCCAATAAAAATTATGGAAGATGAATCCATCAAAATAGATGGAAACCATGTTCATATGATTTTCAGCAATTCCAGCAAAATGTATTTGAAAATAATTTTAACATAACGTCTATTGCTGGGTAGTGGAAAGAACTTAGTGAGGCTAAAGATCTGTGAACATTAGCCCCTTCGTCTTCATTTCCATGCCCTTCAAGACCTGCTGGCGCTGATCTTAGCGCTTGCTGATCTTTTGTCTTAGTGAAAGAGCAGGGAACATCAGGCAATTCACATGGAAAATTGAGCTTTTTGAGGAAATTCCCAGACTAGTACCTTTTTCTCCTAACTTAAATGTCTTACTTTACTGGCCCTGCAAATTTCTGCACCTGGGCCCCTGGATATGGAGAGAGCTCTTTTCTTGGACAAAGAGTAAACAAGAGCGGTGGATGCTGCAGAACCTAATTATTATCTACTTCATCTGGAGAGAGAGGGGGGGGGGAAAAAAAACCAAAATCCTTAAACCCAGGTGGAGCCAGAATTATCACCATTTTTTCAAGGAATGGAAAATACAGCAAGTGTTATTTATTTGCAGTTCTTTCCCCTGTGCGTCACGTCACAAGAGACCCAAAAATGCTCTTCAAAAAAAATTATTTCTCCATGAATCTCTGTGGCCTAGGCCTTAAGGGTGGGATTCATTTTCTCTTTCTTTTGAAAGTTATTAAGGTCAATAAGCCTGCTAAGCTTACTTGGCCAAAACGTTGTATTCGGACTCTTTGCCAAAACGAGTTCTGCAGGACGTACCTTAGTACAGATATATATCTTTCCCTTCATCCCAGTCTTCTGCAGTTTTCTGTCTCTTTTCTGACGAGACTTTAACTTGCTAACGAGTGAGCCTGCAGAGCTGCCATCAGCGCTTGTGCTCCGCCGAAGAGGCAGATAATGTCTCAGTCTGGGAGAGCAAGCAAATCACTGACAGCAGCAGCACAGCGCCTCAATCAAGTAAGCAACAAGCTGGCTATGTGGGGACTGCACAGACCCTTCCAATGAAGGAGAAAGCTTCCTCACTCGGTCCAGCAAAAGGCCTTTAGAAAAGATCACTTGAAGGACTTCTGACCCATTGGCACAGGCAACAAAACAGCTTCATGTAGGGGAATTTCCATCAGATTAATTTATTGGCAATTATCAAGCTTTTAATTACTGATTCTCGTATTGAGAAAGCAAAGAAATCAACAGATGCTTACTGCAGTCCCAGACCTGGTCCCACATGGGTCGCCTGCAGCCGCCACCAGCACCTGCCAACTCTGCCCCGTGCACTCGGATGTTCGGTCCCTCCCGCCTGCGTGTTAACCTGGAAGCCTGACCATCATCCAAACTCTGAGGAAAGGCCTCAAATTTATACCAAGGAAGCATGTGTTTAAGTACTTGATGTAAAAGTTGGAAACAAAATTACAAAAATTTGTAGTTTCTGCATTATTTTAGCTACCTCAAGTCTGCATGGCATTGCAACCCCAACCGCTGCTTCGGGATTTTGAGTGGGGTGGTGGTCTTTGGCCTCCTCTTGCAAGCAGTCCTCAGAGAGCTGCTCTGGAGACCTGGCTGCTTTCTTTGGGTTTAGGTCTTAGTGCTTGCTAATCCACTAGCAGCATGAAAGGAATTCTCACAATAAATCATGGCCGCTATAGTGTTGCTTTTTCAGTTTCTAAATTTAGAGTTCGAAAATACAGTCCCTTTCTACCATTCCTTCTGTTCTGCTCAGAGAAGTTGGTGCACACAAGCCTTGTGAGCCAGCAAAAATGCAAAATGAACACTTGCCAGGTCTGCCTCCTTAGTCCCTCAAGCAGCCTGTTTCTGGCCAGTGCTTTCTCTCTAATGCAAACTTGTGGCAAGAGGCAGAAGAAATCTCTCACTACATCTTATTTGCTACACCGACTTGTTCCTTCTGATGCAGAGAGGATTAACTTAAATTGTGTATTTTAAGAAACGGCTTTTAATACACTACCACCAGCGCTAGTGTCTCATTACTTTGGCCCATCTGAAATGTAAAAAGAAAACATTTTGAAAACAGGGATGTCTCCCCTTGGGTTCTGGGTGTGTTTGGTGTTTCTTCCATGTCATTTATCACTTTCTTGGGTCAGTGGTGTGTCCTTTACCTTACCAATCAGCTTCTAGTCTCCAAGAGCATCAAGCGCAGGGAGATAAGGCTCAGATTATAATTTACTGTCTCAGTTGTGCAGTGAAAATGCTGGATCTAGGCTCAGCCTAGAGCCTGAGAGATCAGTGCCTCCCTCGCTATGCCTCAGGGCTGCCTTGCCTATGGGAGAGATGGGGCCTGGGCATCGGTGCAGTGGCTCAAGCTCTGGCCTCTAACCTCTGACTCCAGCGCCTGCCTATAGACAACCCTGCAGCACCCGTTGCAGCAAGACATAGGTTGCTATAGCAAACCCGTATAGGTAGCAGTCATGACCCCTGTTTTTAAAGACCAGGAGAGGCCAGTCATTCAACACTAAGCAAGTTTATCCGTTCCTCTTTGTACATTGTACCGAACAGGCTGTTCTGGGTCACCAAGGGAAATATTTCCAGAGGAAGAACTCGTGCCTTGTCAGGTACCAGTTTGTTTATCCCCATAAAAGCCTCTGGGTTGACTGGGCCAGGATGGGAGGAGGGTGATTATCACTTGAGATAGAACCTATGCCTCTGCCGAATGAATACCTCATTACACTCCTAAAATTTTCAGGCCTACTCTGGCAAAGATTTTCTTCCTTCTTACATTTTAAATGGTGGTAGGTAGAGTTCCCTGGATTTTTGGAAGAGATTTTTAGTACAGCTTTTTAGGGTGAAAATGGACCCTAAGTACCCTAATGAGAAAAGGAGAGGGAAAAGAACCCCAAATTATAAATTTGATTTTATGATGACAAGGAAAAAGTAGAAAAGCTGCCACTACTTCCCAAGTGCTCCTGAAATTATAGCACTGCTAGTCTTTCTGCAAACTTTGCTGGAAAGGTTGCCAAATAACTTTGAAGGTGTTTCTTAATTTTTTTAAGGTATTTCAAAGGTGCTTCCATTCAACTTTTTTGAATTTGATATAAACAAATGAAAATGGAAGTATCCAGTCAGTACTTTTTAGTGAAAAACAATTTCATATAGTAGTTTGAGATATTTTTGTAAGGACAATAAAGAGGCTGATAGTCCAAAGAAAACAAATTTTTTACCTTTCTCTGTCACAAATGTTGAATTTTGTCTCTGCAATGAACGCATTTATCTTTAGTGTTTATTTAATCTTTGCTCCACTAGTGGAAGAAGGGAGGGCTTCTGAAACAATCTTTCTTACTGTAAAAGGATTAAGAGTGATCTTATCTTGATTATGTTTTACAAACATTTTTTAAAAATCCCTTTTCACTGGAACCAGGCTCAGATTACACATGCATGTTACAAACTTGGTGAAGAACTGATTCTGTTTCGGGAAGAAGTATCAGCTCGACACTTTCAGGACAATATTGCCAACTAAGCTGAACAGAAAAGGTATTAAAGGCAG